ACACACAACACACACAACACACACACACACACACACACACACACACACACACACACACACACACACACACACACACACACACACACACACACACACACACACACACACAACACACACCACACACACACACACACACACACACACACACACACACACACACACACACTCACACACACACACACACACACACACACACACACACACACACACACACGCACACACACACGCACACACACACACACAAAAAAATGAATACACACAAAGAAAAGGATTTCCCATATTCTCCCATATGTTCTGGGTTTCTGTCTTCCCTCCCCACTGCCCATATTGTCCCATATTTTCGGGGGAATCGACGATTAATTGTGTCTCTCTGTGTGTTTTTTTCCTCCTGAGGGACGTGGTGGGGGAGCTGGCTGCACCCGTCGCAGACCTCAGAGCCACCAGCCCGAGCCCGACCCCGAGGAGGAGCACGAGGAACCTGGGCACCTGTCCCGCCCGGGCCCGAGGATCGGGGAACAACAAGTGACATAAACATAAAAACTCTGAGGTCCGCACGGCTTTCTCGGATCGGCGCTGGACCCCTCTCCCTGGCGCGCGGAGCGCGCCAGGGGCGGCGCCGGAGGCGCCGCCGGGGGGCCCCACGCGCCGATCCGAGAAATCCGCGCGGACCTCCGAGCTTTTATGCTTATGCCACATTTTGTTCCCCTAGAGGAGGTATCCTGGATAGTATATCAATGGCGAGGGGGAGAGGAGGAAGAGGAGGAGGAGAAGGAGGCGATCATCACTCCAGCCATAATATAAGTATGTGGGGTTCGTCGGTAGCGTAATGTTTATGCCACTTGTTGTTCCCCTAGAGGAGGAGGAGCAGGAGGAGCCAGAGGAGCCTGGGCACGCGCAAGGGCTGGTTCCCTGCTCTCTCTCTCTCTCTTTCTCTGCCTGCCTGCCCCGTGCGGCACGCGCCGCCCCGCTCGAGCTGCTGGTCGCTCTGCCTGCGTCGGCCTCGCACGGCTTCGTCCCACAGGAGCGCTTTTCGGTCCCCGCGCCAGGGTCTGCTCAACTTCAGAAGGAACCTAGGAGGAGGAGGAGGAGGAGGAGGAGGAGGAGGAGGAGGAGGAGGAGGAGGAGGGAGGAGGAGGAGGAGGAGGAGGAGGAGGAGGAGGAGGAGGAGGAGGAGGAGGAGGAGGAGGAGGAGGGCACCTGGCTCCCAAGACGGAGCTCTCTGGACAGATCCCGTCCTCTGCCTCGGGCCTCTCTTCCAGCGGCCTCGCGGCGGCTTCCCGGGCCAGGTCTGCGAGGAGCGCCACGCGAGCTCCTCACGTCGCCCCTGCCTCCCCCTCTCTTGCTCGCGCATGATAGGAGGTACTGCTTTCGCCTTCTCTCATCTTGACGGCCGCGCCTCGGGTCCGTTGGCCGTCCGGCAGCGAGCGAACAAAGAGCAAGAGAAAGGAAAACCCCACCACGCTCCTCCCTCTTCGAGGACGCGCCAGCGTTCGATGCTCGTTCTGGGGACCTCCCTGGAGCCACTCGCTCCGCTCGTGCGTCGATGCTGCGCTGACGGTCAACCGACTTGAGCCGAGCCCGAGCTGAACCTGGAGACTTGCATCGCGCTGCCAGAAAAACTGGAGTCGAACGGATCCGAAGGGTGGGCCCCGGGGAGCACCCCGAACGAACATCTGACTCGCGGGGGCAGGAGAGCCCAGAATCGAATCGAGAAGTCGGATCGGCGATCGAAATGAGTCGGATCGGCAAACACCGGCAGCCAAGCCGGGAGAAGTCGACTCGGCAGAAATCGGCCGGCAAATAGGCCTGCGCTGAGGAAGCGGCCTCCGCATCGGAATCCGGAGTCGAATCGAACCGGAATCGGAAGCCATCGATATCGAATCGACTCGAATCTGAAGCATCGGGATGAGCCCTGCGGGGGGCACCGAGCGCGCCCCCGCAGGAGGAGGAGGAGGAGGAGGAGGAGGAGGAGGAGGAGGAGGAGGAGGAGGAGGAGGGGGAGGAGGGGAGGAGGAGGAGGAGGAGGGGGAGGAAGAGGAACGGGAGGCAGACGACAAGGTCCAGCCCTTGGCCCTAGGGATCCTCCACCGCCGCCTGGCGCCCAAGGCAGTGGCCCGCATCTTTCGGGGTCGGGTCGCCGGAGCTCTGGGGGAGGCCGAGTACTCTGTGGGGAACACGAGAGGCGCGGAGGTCATGCACAAGGCGGTGTTGCTTGACCTCGACAGCCGGCCGGCCTGCTGCACGCTGAGCCTGGACGTTAGCAACGCCCACAACGAGTACGACAGGGCTGTCGCCGCGCAGGCGGTCCAGGAACTCGTGCCGGATCTGCTGCGATGGGTGCGGGTCGGGCTTGGCACCGCGACAGAGCACGCGCACGTAGCGCGCGACGGTACCCGCACGCCGCTTCCCAAGGAGCGCGGGGGCGACCAGGGCGACGCACTCACCAATCCAATATGCTGTTCCCGCTGACCTACAAACGCGTTGCGCGTGCAACGGCGGAAACGGCAATGGTAGAGGGCACGGCGGCGCGAGGCTACAGCTACCAGGACGACCTCGAGGTGGTCTGCGCCCCGGAGACGGCGGGGCAGGCCGAGAGCGCCTTCGCTGCCGCGTGTGCGGCCGCGGGCCTCCGCGGCAACCCGACTAAAACCAAGGTTAGCCCAGGGCGGCTGGTGGCGGCGGCCGCGCTCCCGGCACAGCGGGAAGTCGAGCCGCGCGCCCTGGTGCTCCGCCACGGAGCGCTCCCGCCTGTCCCCGCAGCGCCGGTGCAGGCCCACGCGGCGGGCAGCCTGCTGGCGGAGGGAAGCCCAGAGGTCGCGAGCCTCGTCGGCGACCGCGGGGCGCTTTACGGGCGGCTGCGGATGCTGCGCGCGGCAGGCCTGAGCAGCCAAACCGCGCTGGCCCTGCTCTGGACGCGGACAGGTTCGGACTACGTGTTCCTGGCGCGAACCTGTGGCATCCCAGAGACGGAGGGGGCGGCCATGGACGCCGCGCTGGTGTCCGAGGTGCAGCAGATCCTCGGGCAGCCGCTCGCCGATGCCACCCAGAGGAAGGCGTTCGTGGCTGAGCAGGCGGACTGGGGTTCCAGAGCGTGGCGCTCACCGCGCCGTCGGCGCAGGCAGCCTCCTGGCACCTCTGCCTGCCCCGCTGCCTCCGCAGGCTGGAATTCGCAGGGGCCAGCGCCCTCGCCGGGGCCAACCCTTGGGCGAGCACCTGCCTCCCCGCCGCGACGAGGGTCCTCCAGGCGGCCCTCGACGACCAGACCGCCCACGTCGGCGACGAAGGGCTGGCAGCTACGCAGCACACGCTGGGCTCGGCCCCACTCGCTGCGGCTGCCCGCCGCGTCGCGCACGAAGCGGCAGCCGACCCGCCCACAGCGGCGGCCCTACTCAGCGCCGGGGGAGCCGGCGCCAGCGGCTGGCTGCAGCCGCCCACGCGGCCGTGCCACCGCCTGACAGACGCGCAGTTCGGAATCGCCATCCGGACGAGGCTGCACCTGGACTTGCCCCTCAGCGCAGGTTTCTGCCAGCAACGCCACCCAGACGGCAGAATGTGCGGGGCGGTCTTGGATCCGAAAGGGGTTCACGCTCGCGGGTGCGCCGTTGGTGGCTGGCGCGTGCGCCGGCACGACGCTGGGTGCGCAGCCCTGGCCGAGTGGTGCGAGGAACAGGGGTGCACCGTTCACAGAGAAGCACTGGTGCCCCACGCGGCGCCCGCGAATCCAGAAGCCCGCATGGACTTGGTTGTCCACGAGCTTGGGGTGGCGGCGCCGATCCTGGTCGACCTCACAATGGTCAGCGCACTGACCCAGGACGCCCTCGGCCTCGGCGCGCCGCGCCGCGAGGGCGCTGCCGCGGCGGCCGCGGAGCGCCGCAAGAGAGCGCGCTATCCAGGAGCGCCGGTGGTCCCGTTCGTCATCGAGGACCACGGCCGCCTGGGAGAGGACGCGGCAGCGCTGCTTCGCCGGCTGGCCCCGGCGGACGCGACGGAGCGCTCGGCGGCGATCCGCCGCCTGCACCAGGCCCTGGGCAGCGTTCTCCAGCGCCACGCGGCCAATGCCGTGCTGGCGGCCACCCAGCACCGGCCCTGGCGCGAGGCCAGGCCCGGGCGAGCGGTCGGAGGAAGAGGAGGCTGAGCAGCCAGCCCGGGGCGAGGAGCGCAGACAGGCGAGGCAAGGAGGGGCGCGGACGCTAGGGGCGGCGGAGCGGCGAGGAGGGGCGAGGAGCGGCGCAGGGGCAGCGGAGGAGGAAGAGGAGGCGGAGGCGTAGGCGGCAGAAGCGGAAAACGCCGCTCGGAGCCGCTGGCCAGGGCGGAGAGCAGGCGGCGGCTTGGGCGGCGGCGCCGGCGGCGGCCGGTGGCGGACGCAGGGGCGGCGGCGGCGGCGGCGGCGGCGGCGGGCACGGGCGGAGGGGGGCGGCTTCGGCGGCGGCGGGCGGAAGCGGAGGGAGGAGGCGGCGGCAGGGGCGGAGGAGGCGGCGGCGGCGTCGGCTGCGCCGCCGCCGCCAGCCAGGCTCCCTCCACGCCGGGGCTGCCAGCCGCCGCTGCCCGGCCGCCGCGCGTAGCGCGCGGGGCCGGGCGCGCCGGGCGCGCGGGGCGCGCGCGGCGCGGCCGTCCCGGCTGCCCCGGGGCCCCCTTCGGACGCGGGGGGCCCCGGGGCCGTGGGAGGAGGAGGAGGAGGAGGAGGAGGAGGGGAGGAGGAGGAGGAGAAGGAGGAGGAGGAGGAGGAGGAGGGAGGAGGAGGAGGAGGAGGAGGAGGAGGGGGAGGGGGGGGGAGGAGGGGGAGGAGGGGGAGGACGGGGAGGGGAGGAGGAGGAGGAGGAGGAGGAGGAGGAGGAGGAGGAGAGGAGGAGGAGGAGGAGGAGGAGGAGGAGGAGGGGAGGAGGAGGAGGAGGAGGAGGAGGAGGAGGGGAGGAGGGGGGGAGGAGGGGAAGGAGGAGGAGGAGGAGGGGGAGGAGGAGGAATCGGAGGCAGGCGGGGGGGGCACCGAGCGCGCCCTTTTTCTCGACCGCCGCCTCCCTCCGACGCCAGCGCGGGCGGCCAGGGTGCGCCTCCGGCGCCCTCTGGCCGCCCGTCGGGGAGGCTGCCGCGGCCGGCAAGGGACAGAGGCCAGAGACGAAGAACAACGCTACAGACACAAACGTTTGAAGGGGCCCTGGGACACACAAACAAATGCACACAAATAACAGGATTCCCATAGTTTCACATATTTTCCTGGGTTTTTGTCTTCCCCCCCACTTCCCACATTTCTCCACAGTTCCCTGGGAGCCGACGATTATTTGTGTCTGTGTGTTTTTCCCCCTCCACAGAAAACACAATCGTTTGGCGCTCCGCGCGGGGCTCTCGGATCAGCGCTGGACCCCCCCCCCCCCGGCTCACGCGGAGCGCGCCGGGGGCGGCGCCGGAGGCGCCGCCAGGGGTGCCCCAGCGCAGACCCGAGAAATCCGCGCGCAGCGCCAGACGTTTCTGCTTATACCGTTTTTTTCCCCCTTCGAGGCCAGAGAACTGTACGCCCATACACCGGCCCTGGCCGGGCCCGTCCTGGGCCCGTGAGCGGTGCATAAGTGCACCGTCCTGGCGTGGCGAGAGGGAGGCGCACGCGCATCGGTCCTGGGCCCCAGGAGGGGCCTGACCAGGGTCTCTCGGTGCGCGTGCGTACGGTCGGACCGATATGCCAGAAGAGCATCCCTCTCGAGACCACGAGACCCTCCGTCGGCCAAGACACGCAGAACATCCAAGGCTACCCCCCCCATTGTGCACAAGAGCATCCGACAAGCACGAAGAACACTAGGGTGCCCTACCCGAACCGGCCTCGATCTTGATCTTATACCTCGGCCCGACTGTAGCTCTCTTCGCCCGAGAAGGGAGGGAGGAAGAGGAGGAGGCCTGGCCGTCATGGCGACTCGAAGCCCGAAGCTCTTTGTTGTGGTCTTCTGCGCCTCGGGGCCGCTGAGGGCTCCCGGGACAGTCACGGTCTCGAGGTGCCAATCCTAAGGAAACCAAGCATCGAGAGCTCCCATGGGCCGGCGGCTGCAGAACATCGAGTCGTCGGAGGGCTGGAGGGGAGGAATTGGAGGGAGGGACGTGGGGACTTCGTGAACGGGGGCGTGGCTACACGGGGGCTTAGGCTCTTCCAGATGCGTCCGCTCACTATGCCCCCGTCTGCGGCGCCCAGGGCCCTCCTAAACGGGGCATAGCCGAACTTGGAAAAATCGGCGTTTCGCGTGCCCCCGTTTCCTGTGCCCCCGTCTCCAGCGCCCTGAGGATGGAGGATGGATTTCCGCTGGGGCTGGACTCACCCCGAAGTCCTTCGAGGGTCGTCCATGGGTCGGTCAGCAGGAGGCAGGAGGAAGGGGGGAGAGCACCACGCGCCAACGGTCAACTCAGAACATCTCCGAACTCTCATTCAGAGAAGCCATGTCCCCCTCCTCGCTGGGTAGTCAAGGCCCTGGTTGTGGTGCTTTTGATCCTCCCTCCTTCCTTCGGATCTGACCCCCCATGGCATCCACACCAGTCCATGGCCTGACCCCCCTGACATCCCCGTGTCGTGAAAAATCACCACGGCGGGCTCGGGGGCCAGGACTGTCAACAAACATACTGTGGATGAAGACCTGGTCCCCAGGAAGTGGTAGACCAAACAGAAGAGAAAGAGAGAGAGAGAGAGGAAGGGAGAGAGAGAGAGAGAGGGAGGGAGAGAGATGGAGAGAGAAGCAGGGACAAGAAGGAGTGAGGGCATCAATGGCAACGCCTCCATGTTGGAGCTGACGCCGCGGAATTATTTGGCGTGCCCAGTGAGACGAATGGCTTAGACGGCAGTGGCTCCGAGAGGCACCGCACAGGGCAGACATGTGCCAATCTAGAGCCGCGGGAGAAGGCGCGGGAGAGCCACGCGCAATTCTAACGAACCAGGCATAGCGTCGGCACTTGGTTCATAGACGCGTGCTGCAACTGCTGCCAGCACGCTACCATAGTTGCCAGACCGCATCAAAGCCGTTGCGGCGATTGAGCACCAACACTTGGCTAGAAGCATCCATGCGCAGCAAGGCACCTCGACATGTCCTCGCTTCCCACAAGGACGGCTCAGAAGCTCATATTGCGCCCCTCCCCGCGGATGCACTCAGACGGCTCCTACGCTTCTGGTGGAAGTGCCATCAGCCTGGAAGCCGCATCGTTTTCTGCTGGTGCACTGCCCACTACTCGTTCCTTCTTCTCCTGCCCTCTGGTCCACCCCCTCCACTCCTCCCTTGGAGGAGGAGGAGGAGAGAGGGAGGTCGGGAGGAACACATGGGAAGAGGAGGGAGGGACGAGAAGGGAGGAGGCGTGTGGGCGGAGGAGCAGGGAGGAGGACGAGGACGACAGGGAGGCAGGAAGGATCAGAAGGAGGAGGATCAGCAGGATAACGTAAGGAGATGCTGAGCGAAGCCCTGATCGCCCTGGCCCGACCGATCGACGGATCAGAAAACCAGGGTCCTCCTCCTCCTCCTCCTCCTCCTCCTCATGCAGGAGGCAAGGGAAAGGAGGGAAGATGTTTGGGATGCCGTTCTGCCCGGCTCTGCGTGGAGGTTTCTGGGGGTCTCCTACTCCCCCTGCTGTTCCTCCTCCGCGTCCTCTCTCTACTCCATGATCCTGTCTCCTCCTCCTCCTCCTCCTCCTCCTTCTCCTCCTCCTCCCCTCCTCCGGAGTGCGACAGCACGAAGGCGCAACACACACACACACAAACACGCACACACAGAGACACACACAGAGACACACACACACACACACACCACCAACAACAACAATTACTCACTGCAAGGAGCTCCCCAAATGTGCATCTCATGTTTTATGACATGCCATAGTGAGCGTCTGTTCATGAGCGTTTGACTATAATAGCGAACGGGCCCGTGTCCTACCCCCTGGCGGCTCTCCTTAGGGATGCTGAAACCAGCGCCCCGCCTGAGACATCCTCAACATCTGCTCTGAAAGCCAAGGATGTTGGGCATGAAAACGAGCAAACCGCCTGATACATCCCCGCAAACTGGCCGCGAACGGGCCCATGTCCTACCACCTGGCGGCTCCCCTTAGGAGATCCTCAGGATCTGCTCTGAAAGCGAAGGATGTTGGGCATGAAAATGAGCAAACCGCATGAGACATCCCCACAAACTGGCCGCGAACGGGTCCGTGAAAACACTCTTGGCGGCTCCCCTTAGGGGTGCTGAAACCAGCGCCCCGCTTGAGACATCCTCACAATTTGCTCTGGGAGCCAAGGATGTTGGGCATGAAAACGAGCAAACCGCATGAGACATCCCCACAAACTGGCCGCGAACGGGCCCGTGAAAACACCCGTGGCGGCTCCCCTTAGGGGTGCTGAAACCAGCGCCCCGCCTGAGACATCCTCAGAATCTGCTCTGAAAACCAAGGAGGTTGGGCATGACAACGAGCAAACCGCCTGAGACATCCCCACAAACTGGCCGCGAACGGGCCCGTGAAAGCACCCCTGGCGGCTCCCCTTAGGGGTGCTGAAACCAACGCACCGCCTGAGACATCCTCAACATCTGCTCTGAAAGCCAAGGATGTTGGGCATGAAAACGAGCAAACCGCATGATACATCCCCACAACCTGGCAGCGAACGGGCCCGTGAAAACACCCCTGGCGGCTCCCCTTCGGGGTCCTGGAACCAGCGCCCCGCCTGAGACATCCTCAAAATCTGCTCTGAAAACCAAGGAGGTTGGGCATGACAACGAGCAAACCGCCTGAGACATCCCCACAAACTGGCCGCGAACGGGCCCGTGAAAGCACCCCTGGCGGCTCCCCTTAGGGGTGCTGAAACCAACGCACCGCCTGAGACATCCTCAACCTCTGCTCTGAAAGCCAAGGATGTTGGGCATGAAAACGAGCAAACCGCCTGAGACATCCCCACAACCTGGCAGCGAACGGGCCCGTGAAAACACCCCTGGCGGCTTCCCTTGCGAGGTTGAGTAAGACTAGGTCTGAGTAGGAGTAGGCCTCAGTCCGTGCGTTGAGACACTCTGACAATGAGAAGGTCCGAGTATGTGTAGGTCTGAATATGAGTAAGTCTGTGCATGAGCAGGTTTGGGAACGAGTCTGGGTATGAATACGTCTGGGTATGACGGAGTCCCAGCATGAGTAAGTATGAGTAGGAATAGGCGTGCATGTTGTGTGTTGAGTAAATCAGACCATGGGAAGGTATGAGTATGAGTAGGTATGAGTATGAGTTAGTCTGTGTATGAGTAGGTGCGTTCTCGCTGGTTGTCTGGAGTCGACTGCGTCCGAGTAATAACAATAACCCCATCTTAGGATACGGGGAACAACACCAACAGCAACAGCACCAACAACAACACCAGCACCACCACCAACAACACCACACACACATACACACACATAAGCACACACAAACGCACACACACAACCACACATACAATGCACATAACCAACCCGCACGCACACAAAAGCGCGCGCACCCTCCTTCCTCCTCCCTCATTCCTTGGCGCTGTCCCCTGGGCGACCCGCGATCTGGCAAGGCCGACAGGCAAAAAAACACGCTTCCCACGGGCGCCGCAGCGCAGGCAGCAGCTGGACGAAACGTGCTGGTGAGGGAGCAGCACGGAGCAGAGATGGGGGAGGACGAGGGAGAAGCGCGAAGGAGGAGGAGGAGGAGGAGGAGGATGAGGATGAGGATGAGGATGATGATGATGATGATGATGATGATGATGATGAGGAGGAGGAGGAGGAGGAGGAAGGGAGGAGGAAGGAGGGAGGTGGAGGAGGAGAGGAGGAGGAGAGGAGGAGGAGGAGAGGAGGGGGAGGATGGAGGAGGAGGAGGAAGAGTAGGAGGAGGAGTAGGAGGAGGAGGAGGAGGAGGAGGAGAAGGAGGAGGAGCAGGAGGAGTTACGGAGTTACGGGTATGGCGATTGTGTCGGTTACGAATGGAAGCAGATTAAACCCGCTGCTTCCTGGCTCTTCTGGCCTGTTCCCTCTTGCTGTAGACCTTAGGCCACTGACCCCGGAGAATACGCTTACGATAATCGATCCGATTACCGTCGAGGCGTGTACTGCATTCCTTGCCAAGCTGTGCCAGCTGTTCAGCTGCAAAACTCCCGCAAACGAAACAGAACCACAACCTCAGCCCCGTGTGATACCGAAGAGTGTGAGACCCATGAGCGTACCCCCCCATAATGTGCACCCTTTGCCCAGGAGGAGGTCTACATATGACGCCGTCCACACTAATTAGATCAAAACACGGTGAGCTCAGCCAGTCGTTCTTACATGCGAGTGCGGTCGACCCCTTACATCGTGTGCAACAACGGCCGTTCTCACCAAGGTGGTGCGACGAGGCGAACATTGCACAAACACTTGCTGCTGGGGGCCGAACGACCACAGAAGATTTACGTTGCCTACGCCGAGTGCCAAAACCCTCAGCCTGTGACAAGAGCTCCTCTGCATGTATGGCCTCTAGCGTGCTCTGGAGAATGCGCATGCGTACAGCAAAAGCCATGTGCTCGGCTCTATGTACTCGCGCGCGTGTGCCTTCAGACAAGCGTGCAACTGCAGCTGCAGCTCCAGCTGCTGCGAACTCATCTGCTACTGCGTTGCCTACGATAATGTACCTAGGCGAATGCTCTCCTATCATGTGCTCAGCTCCAAGGTGAGAATTAATGAACAGAACCGTGCAATGCAGATCTGGCTTACGAGACAATTCTTGCCCTATGCGCCACCACAGGTCGGCGTCGGGGCCCGCGGGGGAGAGCCAGCGAGATTCGTACCAGCCTGAACACACTGCAGCATTATCTGTGGTGTATATGATATGTCCTGCACTCTCGCGAACACAAGCCCACAGACTATACAGTTCACCTCGAGCTACTGTCTGCCTACACCCTGGGAGAGCAGACCACGTGCCAAGATCTATGTGCATGTCATCGTCTAGCGACCGAAAGAGAGCGATGCCTATACCGACGCGACGGAGGAGAGGATGGTGCGTTTCCTTGCCTCCACTGGCGTCACCGAACAAGTATAATGGGTGTGATGCCGTTCCTCTGCCGAACCCGACAAACTCTGATCCTGCCGAGACGTGCCAAACCTCGCGATCGGGCGGGCTCTCGACAGCAACCCAAGATGATGGCAGTAAACCCCTTGTCCAGAAACACTCCTCAGCGTCGGCCTGGGCGTAGGCCTTGCTGACGTACGGTTCGCTCAGCTTGTAGACTGGACTGTCTGAACGAGACTCGCAGCCCCAGATCCTGTGGAAACTGGTCTCGGGCGCAGCTCGGCACCGTGGACACTCTTCAGCAATCTGCTGCTTGCAACGCGTTTGCCGCCTGGTCCTGGGCCAAGAAGCTCCCGTCGCTGCTGCAAACATGAGGCCTGCCAGACGTGGCCCGCCAGGTCCTTGCTCCAATTGCTGAAGTAACTGCCTATAAGAATGATTACATATCCCGCCTTCCATCCCACTGCCGCCAAAATGTTTGGCAGCTTCAACCCACAAGTTGGTCTGAACAGAAGCTTGCAATTCTTGAAAGAAACTCTCAGGAATGTCGATGGCTGCACATCCTGTTAGACCTTGCTCCTTGAAGTCCCAGCTGCACGCGCCGTCGGGAATATCCCAAGAGCTGGCCGCTGTAAGGGGTCCACCCTGCATTCAGAAGGTAGGTGATGACCGTAGCCTGAGGTCCCCGAATCCTCCGACACCGCTGCGCGGGCGGGAGGGCCGCCAACTCCCGAACGATGTCCGTCCAGGTGCGGTTCACGCCGGCTCGGAGATGTGCCTCAGACACCCACGTGGTCAGCCACATCCTCAGCGTGTCCAGCGGGAGCCTGTAGGCAGGATCCCTCAACGGCGTCTTGAGATCGAGGAGCGCGGTGACGCACCTGCCCGTCAACCTCGGGGCTGACGTTGGCAAGTTGCCTCCTCACCGACGCCATCTGGCCCCCGAAGACGCCGTGGAGATGATGGGCGTAGAGCCCCGCAGGAGCCGCTCCTTGCTGCTCGAGGCGGCGGGTAACACGATATCGCCGAAGTGTGCGAGCATACCGAGTGATCTTGACCGACATCGCGCAATGCTTGACGGCACGTGACCTTCGTGTTGCTCGACCCCGCCTGCGGCCTCCACTCAAATCAGCACCAAGGTAGGGAGCTTGGCTAGCGTACTTGAGCTTGTG